CGCCTACTGCACGCCCGTGCTAGCCGAGCTAGGCGGCGTGTCGCAGGTGCTGTGCGCATCGAACGCGGGGCTCGAGTCGCTCGACCCGCGGACCGGCGAGCGGCTGTGGTTCTACGACTGGCCCACCAGCGAGTTTCCCCGCATCGCCCAGCCGATCGTGATCGATCAGCAAACCGTCGTGCTCGCGTCAGGCTATGGCTACGGGGCGCATGGGATCGAGGTCACCCAGGATGCGGGCGAGTGGACCACCGATACGCTGTGGGATAGCCGGCAGCTGCGTCCGTACTTCAACGACTGCCTGCACCACGACGGCTACATCTATGGCTTCGACGACAAGTTCCTCACCTGCATGGACGCCCGCACCGGCAAGCTGGCCTGGCCGAAGAGGACCCGCCGCCAGACCCAGGTCGGCTGCGGCCAGGTGGTGCTCGCGGAAAGATCCGGAGCTCTGCTCGTCATGACCGAGCACACCGGCGAGCTCGTGCTGTACGAGGCCAGCCCCGACGGGCCCCGCGAGCTCAGCCGGATGCAGGTCCTTGAGGGCAAGACTTGGAATCACCCTGTCCTGGCCCACGGGCGGCTGTACGTCCGCAACGGTGTGGAGGCCGCCTGCTACCAGCTGCCGGCCCTGGACATCGCGTCACGGGCGCCTGGGGCGTCTGACGCGCGGTAGAAAACGCGTCCGAACAGACGCTTGGGTCGCCGCCGACTTGACACGGGGGCACGGCGCAGCGGCGCACCGACTCCTGCGGCGACCAGCGGGGTTCCATCAGGACACGCGTCGCTCCCAGCACCCTCTGCCCAGGATTGAATGATGGACCGCTGCACGATCGGGCTATCTCGCCGTACGTTTTTGCACCACTCGGCGCGGGTCGCCGCCGCGACGGCCGGGCTGTCCGCGTTGACACGCGAGGCGTTGGCGGACCTGGTTGCGACCCCGCGGATGACCGAGGGACCGTTCTACCCTGACCGCCTCCCGCTGGACACCGACAACGACCTCCTGATCGTCAACGACGCGCTCGACCACGCGGTGGGCGCCATTACCCACCTGTCGGGCCGGGCGCTGAGCCCCACCGGCGAGCCGCTCCGCAACGCGGTCGTCGAGATCTGGCAGGTCGACAACCACGGCGTCTACCTGCACTCCGCGTCCGACGGCGCCGGTAATCGCGACCGCAACTTCCAGGGCTACGGTCGATTCCTCACCGACGCCAAGGGCCGGTATTACTTCCGGACGATCAAGCCGGTCCCCTACCCCGGCCGCACGCCGCACATCCACGTGGCGGTTAGCCAGAACGGGCATCGGGTGCTGACTTCGCAATTCTTCGTCAATGGCGAGGCGCAGAACGAGCGTGACGGCATCCTCCGCGGGCTCACCGACGCGCAACGCGAACGAGTGGTCGTTGACTTCCGGCCGATCGAGGACTCGAAGCTCGGGGAATTGTCCGCCAAGTGCGACATCGTGCTTGGCCAGACCCCGGCCGAGAACGAAGAGGGCAAGTTCCCTGGCGTGGTGGCCAAGCCGGAGTATCGTCGCGGCGGCGGACGGCGTTCACGGCGGCCGCATTAGCGGACACGACGGGACACGCCAACGGCGTGACGCTAGCGGCGATGGCTGTGGGTGGCCTGCCCACGGCCCGCTAGGCAGCCCGCGGGGCGGCCCTACTGGCAGCCACATCCGCCGATGGAACAGCTGCCGCCGCTGCAAGCGTCGTCGCCGCAGTAGCCCGTGAGACACGAAGCAGCCTTCGAACCCGTTGCGCAGCTGGGGCACAGCAGGCGACAACCACTGCCGGCCAGGAACACACAGGCGAGGAGGAGCAGCGGCAGCAGTTTTCTAACAGGCATGAGCATCGGGGTTCCCTTCCGTGGGGTGGCGTGAGGTGACACAGGTCTCGGGCGGGTCTGTACCAAACTATCGGCGCCCTAGCGACCCAACCTGTGTGACCCTGGGCACACTACCGGACGCCTGCCTGGCGTGTCGTCTGCCAGCACGCGGGCTGTCAGATCGCCCCCCCGCGGTCTTCGTAGCCGTCGGGGGGAACAAAGCCCTTCTCCACGAACGCGGCGCCGCAGCGGTAGCTGTTCTCGCCGACGCGACGGCAGCGGCGGATATCGACCTGCGCCTTCTTAGGCCCCGGCAGCACGAGCCAGTACTTGTAACCGGGGAACAACTGGACGGGCGAGAAGAAGCCGATCCCGTTGCGAGACACGTCGTTGACGTACACGCCGTGGGTCGTGCCGTCGAGCAGCAAGATGGACCGACGCCCGTACGTGTAGCGCCCGTAGGTGCGCCGCGAGTCGAAGCGGGTCGGCGTCGCGGAGTTGTTTTCCCAAGACCGCCGATCCTGCGTAGGGACTTCCGCGTAGAGTTCGGCGGCCGTCCACAGCGTGTCGATCACGCTCTGCTCATCACCTGCGTCCAGCATCGGACCATCTCCGTGTCAAACTCGCCGCCCGATCCGCTCCGCAACTTGCGGAACGCGTCTTCCGCGCTCAGCCTGGCGTTTTCGGGGGCGTCGGAAGTAAGTTCGTCAAACGCGTCGACCACCTTCACCAGCATGGCCCAGGGGCTTATCTCGTCGCGGTGAATCCCCACAGGAAACCCACTGCCGTCGGGCGACTCGTGGTGCTGGTACACCACCAGCAGCTGACGCTGGTCGAAGTCCGAATCGTCCAGCAGCTCTTCGAAGCCCCGTTGCGGGTGCGAACAGTGAAACTCGGCCCGCTCCTCTTTGCTCAGCCTCAGGTGCTCCTTGTCCCCGTCGCAACGCTGGCCGAGGTCGTGCAGCAAGGCCGCCAGGGCGAGCCGACGCAGGTCATCGTGGTCTTGAATGTCAATCGCGATCGCCAGCAGCACGCTGTAGCACGCGACGTTCGCCGCGTGCGTCAACCAGCGGGAGCCGAACCGCGGGGCGTGCAGCAGTTCCGCCGGCTCCACCTGGCCGGCGTGCAGCAGCTCAAATATGTCCTCGGCGATCCGCTTGGAGAGCTCTACGAGCCGCTTGGGCTTGAGGAGCCGCTGAACAGTCTCAACCTCATTGGCCCGCCCCGCCAAGAGGATGGAGAAGCGTTCGGCCTGCGACAGCCGCGTGTCGGTCAGCACGGCGGAGGTCTTGCCCAGCAGCTTCTCGCTGAGGACAGGGAACTCGCGTTCGGTCACCAGCAAACCGGCCGATCCGTCACCGGCCAGCCGAGCGAGCGCCTCGGCCGATGGCTTGCGGCCGCGGTTGCACAGCAGCTCCGGCGTGCGGGCGCCCTCCGGCAGGCAGTAGTACGACGCCAACGCCTTGTCCGACAACTGCAGCAAACCTGCGGACAACGCGCAATAGCCGTTGGGCGTTCGGGTTGGTTTCCGTGATGCGGCGAGCGAGGTCATTCCTCAGGCTCCAAGCGAATTGATCTTCTACCTGGAGCATAGAACGCAGCGGGTAACCGAATCACGCTGAGGTGGTTAAAATCCAGACTTCCTGGCAGCCGAAGAGTCGCTTGTTGCAGGTCACACCCGCTGCAACCCGAGGACGGGTCCACCAATCGGCAGAGTCGGCACGACCCAAACAAAAACACACCCCCTGCCATGCGGCAGGGGGTGTGTGGTTGTCCGAAGGGTGCGTGGTGGCGGGCTCGTTAGCCGGCTGCGCCGAACTCGGGCCGGCGGCGGCCCAGCTGCCCTTGCAGTCGCTGCACGATTGCCGAGTGCATCTGGCTGACGCGGCTTTCGGAGAGGTCGAGCGTGGCGCCGATCTCCTTCATCGTCAGCTCCTCGTAGTAGTAGAGGATGATGATCAGCCGCTCGTTGCGGTTCAGGCCCTTGGTGACCAGCCGCATCAGGTCCGACTTCTGGACGCGGCGGGTGGGGTCCTCGCCCTTCTTGTCCTCAAGGATGTCGATCTCGCGGACGTCCTTGTAGCTGTCGGTTTCGTACCACTTCTTGTTGAGGCTGATCAGGCCGACGGCGTTGGCCTCGGTGATCATCTTCTCGAGCTCCTGGACCGACAGGCCCATGTGCTCGGCCAGCTCGATTTCTGTCGGCGAGCGGCCGTACTTGGCCTCGAGCTTCTTGACGGCCTCGTTCAGCTTGCTGGCCTTGCTGCGGACCAGGCGTGGCACCCAGTCCATGCTGCGGAGCTCGTCGAGCATGGCGCCGCGGATGCGGGGGACGCAGTAGGTCTCGAACTTGACGCCGCGATCGAGGTCGAACGCGTTGATCGCGTCCATCAGGCCGAACACGCCGGCGGAGATCAGGTCGTCCAGCTCCACGCCGTCGGGCAGGCGGCTCCAGATGCGTTCGCCGTTGTACTTGACCAACGGCAGGTACTCCTCGACCAGCTGATTGCGGAGCGGCTTGCTGTCGGGGTTGGCCTTGTACTCTTTCCAGACCTCGAGCATGACGGCTCGGCGGGCCTCTTTGGCCGCCTGTCGCGCGTCGAGGGTATCAGCGTCGTGTGCGTTGGCGAACGTGGTTGCCATGCAATCCTCCATGATGAGCTACCCGCGTCGCGCTCCGTGCGACCGCGGGCGCCGGCTGCTAACCGGCGCGTCTGATTGTATCACCGTCGGCCGGGGCCGAGGGTGGTTGAGTCGATGCCTGTCACGCGGCCTCAGCGGAATTCGCCTCGGCCAGTTGCTTCTCGAGTTGAGTCTTGACCGACTCGTCCACGACCGTTTCTGCGATCGCGCCGATCACGGCGCCCACCGCAGCATATGCCGCCAGGCTCGCCACCCCCTGGAGGATCGTCCCATCGATCCCGGCCCCATGCATGGCGCCGCGCAGCAGCGCGACAATCATGCCAAGGCACCCCAGGTATCCGGCGTAGTCTCGCGCCATGAATCCGATCTCCGATGGCGTCAAACTCGATGCAGTCGAGCCAGATTAACACGCCATGGCGCGGTAACCGCTCTTCAAACTTTATCGGTCCGACGACTGAGATCGCTTGAGTCTTCATTTCAAATCGTTGCAAAATCTGATGGAAACAGTTGCCGCACGCCAACATCGTGAGCGCCTACGCCGCGCGGTCCGCGGCCGGGCGACTGAGGAGCTTCTGCGTCCACACCTGAGCCTGCCTGAGCGAGGCGGCGCGGGCGTCCGCCGCCAGCCGTGGGTCGTTCGGCGACCACCCGACCAGCGGCATCGGCGCGCCGAGAAACCGCCGGCAGGTCTCGTCCACACGGCGGTGCACCGACTGCGCGGTCGCGAGATCGTCGACGCGGTTGACCAGCAGGCCGATCGCCGTGTCGACCCCCTCGCCGCGGGCCAGCTTGGTCACCGCGTAGGCGTCCAAGACCGCAAGCTTGTCCGGCGTTGAAACCAGCACCGCCTGCGTGGCCCGACGCCACAGCGGTTCGGTCCACGGCTTCATGCCCACCCCGACGTCCAGCACAACGTTTTCGCCAGCGGCCGTGACGCCGTCCAGGTCTTGCAGCCAGCGGCGGACCGCCTCGGCGTTGGCGTCGGGCTGGGCGGCGGGCGCCCACGCGCCCGCAACGAGAGACAAATTTGGTTCGAGCTGGGTCCGCGCGTCGGCCGTGCGGCACACGCCCGACAGCACGTCGGCCAGGTCGTGGCGCCCGTCGATCGAGGCCTGCGCCACGTGGGCCAGGTCGGCCTGGCGGAGGTTGGCGTCGATCACCAGCGTCGGCTCGCCTCGCGCGGCCATGGCGCGGGCCAGCAGCAGCGTGGCGGTGGTCACGCCCACGCCGCCTTTCGACCCGGCCACCACCACCAACCGCCCGCGGCTGTCGTCGCTTCCGGGCGTTGGGCCCTCTACGGGTTGCCCGGCGGCGATGCGGGCGGCGCGCACCAGCTCGCGGAGCGCGACGGCCTGATCCTGTGAAAGCTCGGCTTGGTTGCTCATCAGGCGGCGACCTCAAACAGGCGGTGGGCTAAGCTGGTCGACTCCGCTACCTGGATGTCGTCGGGGACGTTCTGGCCATCGGTCAGGTAGCTGACCGGCAGGCCGTGCGTCCGCGTAACGGGCAGCAGGTGCCCCAGGCTGGTCGCCTCGTCGAGCTTGGTGTAGATCATCGAGGTGACGCCCGCGGGGGCAAACTTTTCCGTCGTGACCGACAGGTTCCGCTCGCCCGACGTGCTGCTCAGCACCAGGCAGACCTCGTCGGGCTGGGCCTCGCCGAGCATCGACTTGAGCTCTTGGATCTTGACCTCGTCGCGGGGGCTGCGTCCGGCGGTGTCGACCAGCACCAGGTCGAGGTCCGCCAGGCGGGCGATCGCCTCACGCATCTCGCGGGGTGTGCTGACCACCTCCATCGGCAGGTCGATGATGTCGGCGTAGGTCCGCAGCTGCTCGACCGCCGCGACCCGGTAGGTGTCGACCGTCACGAGGCCCACGCGGCGGTGCTCTCGCAAGCGGAAGTTGGCCGCCAGCTTGGCGATAGTGGTTGTCTTGCCCACGCCCGTCGGGCCGACCAACGCGACGACGCGGCGCGAGCCTTCGGTCAGCTGGATCCCGCCGGTGGCCGACAGCTCGCCCGCGATCAGCTGCTCGATGCTCTTGCGGAGCTCTTGGTAGTCGTGGGCGTGGCTCTCGGGGATGCCGCGCCGGGCCTGCTCCAACAGCTGCCGGCAGGTGGTCTCGTCGATGCCGGCCTCGATCATGTCGGTGAACGCGCGGAAACACGCGTCCGGCATGTCTCGGCTCTCCGGCGCGCCGGCGTCTGAGTAGAGCTGCTTGACGCGGGCGCCTAGATCGTCGAGCTCGGGCGACGACTGCAGCCGCACCGCCTCGCGGTAGCGGGCCCGGTAGTCCGCGTCGTGCAGCGGGGGTGACGCCGCGTCGGGCGTTGGGCAGGCTTCATGCGCGTCCGCGGCCTGCTCGGCCGTGAAGGATGGCTCGGCAAAGCGGCTCGGCACGTGCACCGTGGCGGACGCGGCGACCTCGATCATCTTGCCCTGCAGGAATCGCCCCAGCAGCCCACGGCGGACATCCCGCGTGTGCAGCACCGCCGCGTCCGGCCCCAGGTCGGCCCTGATGAGGTCGAGCGCATCACGCATGTTCTTGGCGCGGTAGGTTTTGATGGACATGATTCTGTGGCGGGAGTCGTGGTGGCGGGTGACGATTGGCCGGGATGCTGCGTCGGAACGCTAGCCGCTGGCCACCAGCCCGTGGGTGACAATGTTGGTGTCGCGGGTGACTTCGTTAAAGCTCAGCACCACCAGCTGCGGGAGGTGCGTCTCGGTCATCTGTTTCAGCGCGGCGCGGATCTGCGGGCTGACCAGCACAATCGGCGTGTGCCCCTGGACCACCAGCTTCTGCAGCTCGCCACGCAGCTTGTCGACCAGTCCCTCGATCTGCTGCGGCGCCATCCGGATGAACAGGCCACGCTCGTTGTGCTCGAACCCGCCGCGGACGGCGTCTTCCAACGCGGGGTCAACGGCGATCACGTGCAGCTGATTCTCGCGGTCGCGGTAGCGCGTGCAGATCTGGCGGGCCAGCCGGTGGCGGACGAACTCGGTGAGCAGCACCGGGTCCTTGGTCTTCGCGCCGTTGTCGCCCAGCGCTTCGAGGATCGTTGAGAGTTGCCGTATCGAGACCTGCTCTCGCAGCAGGTGCTGGAGCACGGTCTGCACCTCGGCCAGCGTCATCACGCCGGGGACCAGTTCGTCCACCACGGTGGGCGTGGTCGACTTGAGCTCGTCGATCAGGTGCTTTGTGGCGTCGCGGGTGAGGATCTCGTCGGCGTGGCGGCGGCAGATCTCGGTGAGGTGCGTTGCGAGCACCGCGCCCGGCTCAACAACCGTCCAGCCCAGCATCTCGGCCTCGTCTTGGCGGCCGGGCGAGATCCACTTGGCGTCCGTGCCGAAGGCCGGGTCCTTGGTGTCGACGCCCTCGACCTGACCGGTGGTGAGCCCAGAGTCGATGGCCAGCAGGCTGCCGGGATCGACCTCGTCGGTGGCGATCGGCATGTCGGCGATCTTGATCCGGTACTGGTTTTGGTCGAGCCGCATGTTGTCGCGGATGCGCACCTTCGGCATGATGACGCCGATGTCCGCTGCGACGTTCTGCCGCACCCGCTGCACGCGGTCCAGCAGGTCCCCGCCGCGGTTGGGGTCGGCCAGTCGGATCAGCCCGACGCCCAGCTCCAGCTCCATCGGGTCGACCGCCAGGTAGTCCTCGACGCGGTCTTCCTTGGGCGCCGCGGCCTGTTGAGCCTCGGCCTGCTCCTTGGCCTTGTCCTCGTCAGTGGACTTGCGGTTGAGGACCCGCGCCAGCCCGAAGCACGACAGCCCCAATGCGGCCACCGGGATGCGGGGCATGGGGGTGAATATCAACACGCCCAGGAACGCCGCGGTGACCATCAGCGCCTGAGGACGCGAGAACAGCTGACCGAGGAACTCCTGCGGCAGGTTCGACCGTTGCGAGCTTCGCGTGACAAGCAGCGCGGCCGCCAGCGAGATCAGGAACGCGGGCACCTGGCTCACCAGGCCGTCGCCAATGGTCAGGCGGGTGAACAGCGAACCCGCTTCCGACAGCGACATGCCCTCTTGCGCGACGCCGATGATCAACCCACCCAGCACGTTCACCACCGTGATGATGATGCCGGCCACGGCGTCGCCGCGGACAAACTTACTGGCGCCGTCCATGGCGCCGAAGAAGTCGGCCTGCTCGGTGATTTCTTCTCGGCGGGCCTTGGCCTGACGCTCGTCGATGATGCCGGCGTTCAGGTCGGCGTCGATCGCCATCTGCTTGCCCGGCATGCCGTCCAAGGCGAAGCGGGCAGCCACTTCACTGATACGGGTGGCGCCTTTGGTGATCACCACGAACTGGATGATGATGATGATTGAGAAGATGATCAGGCCCACGACGATCCGGTCGCCGCCGGCGACAAAGTCGCTGAACGCCATGATCACGTCGCCCGCGGCGTGCTCTTTCAGGCGCGGGGCGCCGGTGAGGATCAGCCTGGTGGTCGCGACGTTCAGCACCAGCCGCGCGAGTGTGGTCGCCAGCAGCAGCGACGGGAAGATGCTGAATTCCAGCGGCGTGCGGACGTAGATGGTGGTCAGCAGCACGATCACCGACACCGTGATGTTGGCCGCCAGGAGGACGTCCATCAGCGCGGGCGGCAGCGGGGCCATGATCACCAGCACGCTGGCGATGATGGCTACCGGCAGGATCAGGTCTTGGGCACGGCGGATCCATCCTTGGTCCGCTGCGGCGCCGCTGGCCATAGTTTAAAACTCCAAGCTCTCCGCGTCGCCATCCGTGGCGGCGCCTGTCAGGGGAAGAGAGGCGGGACGGTACCCAACCGCGCCCGGGGTGTCCAGAGCAGGCCTTGGCGTCCGCCCGCCGGCCGGCGCGGACGTCGGCCAACCACGTCGGCCAGCCGCGTTGACCTTCCCGGCAACGCTCCGCCGACGCCGCGGGCGAGACGCGATTGTCGCCCGCTAGCACGCGGCGACAAAGAGGATCCGCGTGCCCCCAATCCGCCCGCAGGAGCGACTCGCCACGGGTTGTCAAGCACTTGAAGCCACCGAGGTCCCGCGGGATACTCGACGGCTGAAACCAATGACAGCGTCGCCGACAGACGCGTCTTCTCCTAGCAAAGCCGAGGTCACCCGATGAAACGAGCTAAGATCACCATTGTTGGCGCTGGCAATGTAGGCGCCACCTGCGCCCACTGGTGCGCCGCCGCCGAGCTGGGCGACATCGTGCTCCTAGACATCCCGGGTGACGCCGCCGACATGCCGCGCGGCAAGGCGTTGGACTTGATGCAGGCGTCGCCGATCTTCGGTTTCGACGCCAACGTGGTCGGCACCAACGACTACGCCGACACCGCCAACAGCGACGTCGTGGTGATCACGGCCGGCATCCCCCGCAAGCCGGGCATGAGCCGTGACGACCTGCTAGCAACCAACGCCAAGATCATGACCGCCGTGTGCGAGCAGGTGAAAGCCACCAGCCCGGACGCGGTGGTGATTGTTGTCAGCAACCCGCTGGACGCCATGGTGCAGCAGGCGCAGAAGGTCACCGGCTTCCCGCCCGAGCGCGTCATCGGCCAGGCCGGCGTGCTCGACACGGCCCGCTACCGCACGTTCCTCGCGATGGAGCTGGGCGTCAGCGTAGAGGATGTCTCGGCCCTGCTGATGGGCGGCCACGGCGACACCATGGTCCCGATGCCCAGCTGCACCTCGGTCGGCGGCATCCCCGTCACGCAGCTGCTGGACTCGAAGCGGCTCGACGAGATCGTTGACCGCGCCCGCAAGGGCGGCGCCGAGATCGTCGGCCTGCTGAAGACCGGCAGCGCGTACTACGCGCCCGCCGGCGCGACGGCGCAGATGGTCGAGGCGATCATCCGCGACAAGAAGCGGCTCATCCCCTGCGCCGCGTACTGCGACAAGGAGTACGGCGTCGGCGGCTACTATGTCGGCGTGCCGGTAGTCCTGGGCACGGGCGGGGTTGAAAAGATCGTCGAGCTCGAGCTCACCGACACGGAGAAGGCCGCTTTCCAGAAGAGCGTCGACGCGGTCAAGGAATTGGTCGAGACCATGGCCACGCTTGTGTAACGCGTCTGCCGTGCTAGCAGCGTGGCCCCTCAGTGGCCGCCGGCTGCTAGCACCGACGGCCACCGCGCGTTTCCGTTGACACCCCCAGCGGACTGTTTTATTGTCGCCGTTCGCGTTTGCTGAAGCCGCCTGCCGGCTGGCCCCAGCCCCGAGCGAACCCCCACGAGGTGACCATGACTCCGCCAGAGTAATCGGCAACGCGTCCTCCCCGCCGGTCGCCACCCCCGCCTAGCGCAGCCGGCCCCCTCCCCCGCAACGCGACGACAGACCCACAACGCATGAACCGACTCAAAAGCATGCCTTCTCTGCCCGCCATCAAGCTTGCGTTCACCGCCACGACGGAACGCCCCCGCGAGGACCGGGTCCAACTCTACGAGCCGCTTGGCGAAGACTCACCGGCCGCGACCTTCGTCCCGCAGAACTACGAGCGCAACTACGCCTACCCGCTGGTGGTGTGGCTGCACGGGCAAGACCAGAACGAGTGCGACCTGCCGCACGTGATGCGGCACGTCAGCACCCGCAACTACCTGGCGGTGGCTCCCCGCGGGACCCAGCCGAGCGACCAGGTCGAGGGCGGCTTCGCCTGGTCGGACACGCCCGACGGCGTTGAGGCCGCCACCGACCGGATGTACGACGCCATCGAACAGGCCGCCTCACGCTTCAAGGTGCACGACAACCGCGTGTTCCTAGCAGGCGTCGGCATGGGCGGCACGCTCGCCATGCGGCTGGCGTTGCGGCACCCCCGCTCGTTCGCCGGCGCCGCGACCTTCGACGGCGCGCTGCCGACCGGCAACACCCCGCTCGGACGCGTCAACGAACTCCGCACACTCCCCATCCTGCTGGCAGGCAGCCGCGAGAGCGAGTCGTACCCGGAGCTTCAGCTCTGCGACGACCTGCGGCTGCTGCACTCCGCTGGCGCCACGGTCAGCGTCCGCCAGTACCCCGGCGCCGACGACCTTACCACCGCCATGCTGGCCGACTTTGACCGCTGGATGATGGAGATCGTCTGCGGATCCAAGACGCATGTGAAGTAGCCTCGGCCGCGGTTCCCGCGACCCTCGCTCCCCGAGAAGATCCTGCTTGGCGGTGGGTAGCGGCTGCTAGCGTGTCGGCTTATCGTGGAGGCTTTCCAGCCCTCCTCGATGGATACCCCCGCCGCGTGAAGACGCTCATCAAGAACGCCCAGGTCGTCCTTCCCGACGAGGTCGCGCAGCTCGACGTCGTGATCGAAGGCGAGCGGATCGCCGACATCTGCCCCGCCGCGCAACTGGCCGTCGACGAGACCGTCGACGCCGCGGGCCTCTGCCTGATGCCGGGAGTGATCGACGACCAGGTGCACTTCCGCGAACCGGGCCTGACGCACAAGGAGGACCTGGAGCACGCCAGCCGGGCGTGCGCCAAGGGCGGCGTCACCACGTTCTTGGAGATGCCCAACACCAACCCCAACACGGTCACGGTCGAGCGGCTGCACGAGAAGCTCCAGCTGGCCAGCGGCAAGTGCCGGGTCAACTACGGCTTCTATATCGGCGCCACGCCGGACAACGTCGCGGAGTTGCAGGCCGCCGAGCGGACGCCGGGCATCAAGATTTTCATCGGCTCCAGCACCGGCAACCTGCTGGTCGACGAGCAGGCCGCGCTCGAGCGGATCTTCGCGGAGACCACGCTGCCGGCCACAGCGCACTGCGAGGACGAGACCACCGTCCGCGCCAACGCCGACAAGTACGCCGGCACGACGGACGTCGCCGACCACTCGCGGATCCGCGACCACCGCGCCGCGCTGATCGCGACCAAGCGGGCCATCGACTTGGCCAAGCGTCACAACCACCGCTTCCACGTGCTGCACGTGTCCACCGGCGACGAGACCGACCTGCTGGCCGACCACGGCGGCCTGATCACCGGCGAGGCCTGCCCCCACCACCTGTTCTTCAACACCGGCGACTACGAGCGGCTCGGCACGCTGGTGCAGATGAACCCCTCGCTCAAGACCGCCGAAGACAACGAGCGGATCTGGCAGGCGTTGCTGGACGGCCGTTTGCAGGTGATCGCGACCGACCACGCGCCGCACCAGCTGGAGGAGAAGCGGAAGCCGTACCCGCAGTCGCCGTCGGGCCTGCCGGCGGTCGAAAACTCACTGGCGCTGCTGCTCAACCAGGTCAACCAAGGGCGGTGCAGCCTTCAGCAAGTCGCCCACTGGATGTCCGACGCCCCGGCGCGGGTGTGGGACATCGTCGGCAAAGGCCGCATCGCTACCGGCTACGACGCGGACCTGGTGCTGGTTGACCTTAACAAGACGGCTGTCATTCGCAACGAGGAACAGCTCACCAAGTGTGGCTGGAGCCCCTGGGACGGCGAGTCGCTGACCGGCTGGCCGGTCCGCACCTGGGTGATGGGGCAGCAGGTGTTCTGCGACGGCAAGGTCGACGACGCCGTCCGCGGCCGTGAGGCGACCTACGACCACTCGCGGGGCGGGTACTGGGCCGGGTAAGATAGGGCGTTTGATCGTCGAGTACCCAACGCGTGCCCCCGCAGACTAGAATGCCAGGCCCTCCCCCCTCCCCCGCAGGCTACGCCGTGGTGACCGGCGCGTCGTCGGGCATCGGGCTCGCCGTGGCGAATCAGCTGGCCAGTTCCGGCTGGACCGTGGCCCGCGTCGACTGCAACCCGGGCGACGGCCCCGCAGCCGAGAGCACGCTGCTGCTGGATGTCTGCGACCAGGACGCCTGGCTCGCACTCGAGTCGGACCTGCGGCATCGCTGGCCGCGACTCGACCTGCTGGTGAACAGCGCAGGAGTGCTCGTCGGCGGCGACCTGGTCGATTGCCCGCTGGAGGCGGTCACCCGGGTGGCCGACGTCAACCTCAAGGGCGTGCTGCTGGCGTGCCGCGTGCTGGCGCCGTGGCTGATTGAGAGCGGCCGGCTGCGCCCCGCGGGCCTGCGTCCGAGGGCCGGCATCATCAACCTGTCGTCCATCTTCGCCGCCCTCTGCCCGCCCGGGTTCGCGGCCTACAACGCGTCGAAGGCCGCGGTGCTAGCGCTGTCAGAGTCGCTGCGGGGCGAGCTGGAGCCGCACGAGCTCAACGTCACGGTTACGGCGCCCGGCGTGGTCCGAACGCCGCTGTTCCAGACCAGCTGGTTCGCCAACAACGCGTACCGCGCGGCCGCCGACCGCTTCTACGACGCCGCTCAGCTCGATCCGCAACAGGTTGCCGCGGCGGCGTTGGCCGCGGCGGCGCGCGGCGAGCTGCTGGCCGTGGTGGGCGGACGCGCCCGACGGCTGTGGCTGCTCAAGCGTCTGTTCCCCAAGACCCTGCAGCGGTACGCCGCGCGTCGGTCGCGGCGCGAGCTGGACGCTCAGGCGGCCCGAACGCCCGGGGGGCGTAGCGCCCCGTGCCCGGCGCCCCGCGACACGACCAAGGTGGGCTAGGATGCCGCTCGACCCTCACGACTTCCGAACGATTGTGGTGCTGACCGGCGCAGGCGTGTCCGCGGAATCTGGCGTCGCGACGTTCCGTGACAGCGGCGGGCTGTGGGAGCAACACCGCGTCGAAGAGGTGGCCTCTCCGGCCGGCTTCAGCCGCGACCCGCACCTGGTGCACCGCTTCTACAACCTACGCCGCCGTCAACTGATAGCCGACGCCAAACCCAACCCCGCCCACCACGCGCTCGCCCGGTTCCAGCAGGGTTTCGCGGGCGACTTGCTGCTGGTCACCCAGAACGTGGACCACCTGCACGAGGAGGCCGGATCGTCCGGCGTGGTCCACATGCACGGCGAGTTGCTCAAGCAGCGTTGCACCCGTTCAGCCCGGGTTAGCGACTGCCGAGGGGACCTCACGCCCGATTCGCGGTGCGACTGCTGCCAGCCGCCCGCGCCGCTGCGGCCACACATTGTGTGGTTCGGCGAGACGCCGCTCGAGATGGAGCGGATCGACCGGGCGCTGGCGGGCTGCGAGCTGTTCGTCGCGATCGGGACCTCCGGGCACGTCTACCCGGCGGCCGGTTTCGTGGACGCCGCGCGGGCGGTGGGGGCCAAGACCGTTGAACTCAACCTCGAGCCATCGGCCAACAGCGACTCATTCGACTCACAACGACTAGGCCCCGCGTCGCGAGTCGTGCCGGCCTTCTTCAACCCCGGCGGCTAACTCTCATGCTCCATCTGAAATCCGAAACCGACGAGCGTTGGCTCCGCCAGGTCGACGACTCGCTCGAACTGATCCTGATCGACCACGCCCACTGCGAGAAAAAGGCCGCCGGCACGGCGCTGAATCTGATCTTTGCGTATGTCGAGAATGGGGACCTCTGTCGCGAGATGACCGAGATCGTCAACGAGGAACTGGAGCACTTCCACATGGTGGTAGATCTGCTCGAAAAACGCGGGATCCCGCTGCGACGACTCAAGCCCAGCGCCTACGGCCGCAAGCTCAACGACCTGGTCCGCAAGCAGGAGCCCCAGCGGGCGGTCGACAGGCTGCTGGTGGCGGGGCTGATTGAGGCCCGCAGCTGCGAGCGTTTCCAGGCCCTGGCCCGGCGGGTGCGGGACCCGGAGCTGGCGGAATTCTACCAGAGCCTGTTCGAGTCCGAGGCCCGGCACCACACGACCTACACCCGTTTGGCCAAAGACTTTGCGCCCGACGCGGAAGTCATGGCCCGGCTCGACGAATTGGCGGAAATTGAGGCCCGAATCGTGGCCGAGGGGGAATCGGACCCAAGAATGCACAGCTGACGAACGAAGAGGATTCTTGTAGAGTAGAGCGTTGACCGGCCCCCGGGCCTTCATCGAACCTGAACCAAAGCTTAACCCCCACCGCACTCAGGCCTCGCCCAACCCTCACATTTTTCGACGATACTTCCCATCAGGTGAAACCTCGATTGGCTTCACCTGAGCCCCGGCGAACAGGGACCGCCGCGCGGCCGCCGAGATCGTTGATTCCGAGCCCCTCCGGCGGGCTCCAGCCTTCCGAGGAGACGGCGTCGTTGTCTGGCCTGAATTACCTTTGCGAGGAGAGACAAATGTCCGATTGCCAAGGATGGAACGGGCGGGTGGTGCGGACGCTCTTCGTGAGCGATGTTCACCTAGGTTGCCGGCACTCGCAGGCCGAGCCCTTCCTAGAGCTGCTCGAACAGTTTGAGCCCCGCGAGCTGTACATCGTCGGCGACTTTATCGACGGCTGGAAGCTCAAGCGGCGGTGGCGGTGGCTGCCGGTCTACGACCAGATCCTGCAGCGGCTGATGGACCTCCGCCGCCGGGGAGCCAAGATCTACTACACGCCCGGCAACCACGACGACTTCCTGCGGGGGTTTCTCGCCAACTTCGGCGTGGTCGAGATCAAGGACCAGTTTGTCCACACCGCGGCCGACGGGCGGCGGTTCCTGGTCATGCACGGCGACCAGTTCGACTCGATCGAGCAGAACGCCCAGTGGCTCTCTTGGACCGCCTCGTTCGCGTACGACGTGCTGCTCTCAACCAATTGGCTGGTCAACCGGATCCGCGGCAAGAAGGTCGACCCCTACGCGTTCTGCGGCATGGTCAAACGCCGCGTCAAGCGGCTGGTCCGGCACGTCAGCGAGTTCGAGGGCCAGCTGGTGGAATCGGCCCGGGACTCCGACTGCAACGGCATCATCTGCGGCCACATCCATTCCCCGCGGATCGTCGATGTCGACGGCCTGGCGTACTGCAACACCGGCGACTGGGTAGAGAACTGCTCTGCGCTGGTGGAGTACGAGGACGGTGGTTTCCAGCTGCTCCGCCGCGACGGCAGCGTGATCGACGAGCTGCCCGCCACCGGGGCCGCCCGCAGCAACCCGCAGGCCACGCGCCCCGCGACGGCAGCCGGTTGTGAGGAGGAGGAAAACCTGCCGGCGTCGGCCGCGCCGCTGCACGGCCTGCTGGCCGGAAAATAGGGCGGCTGCGCAGGCTGGCGCTCCACCGGGCTCTTGATTCGCACGCGTGACTCCGGTCCAATCGATGGATTGCAAGGACGGCCCCGGCTTTCCTTCTGGACCCCCGTCCGGCGGCGTTGTCTTGGCCAGCCGGGCGTGCCTATCCGACGATAGAGAGCCCTTATGCTCGCGACTCACGTCAGCCGCGCTATCTTCAAGCTCTGCCACGGCAACCAACTTGTGTACAACACGTGCTGGGAGGACCCCAGGCTCGACCGCGTCGCGCTGGAGCTCGGCCCCGGCGACCGTCTGATGGTGATCACCTCCGCCGGCTGCAACGCGCTGGACTACGCGTTGGACGAGCCCGAGCGGATCGACACGGTCGACATCAACCCCCGCCAGAACGCGCTGCTGGAGCTCAAGAAGGCGGGCATCAAGAACCTGGAGCACGCCGAGTTCTTTGAGATGTTCGGCCGCGGCAAGGTCGCGGACTGGGACCGCCTGTACAACCGCCTCCGGCAGGACCTGCCCGACGAGGCGGCCAAGTACTGGGACAAGAACGGCAAGTTCTTCCTGGGCGCCGGCCGGCGGGACAGCTTCTACTTCCGCGGCTCGGCCGGCATGTTCGCCTGGGGCATCAACGACCTCTACATCGACCGCTGGGTGAAGATCCGCCCCGCGATCGAGCGGATGCTGGCCGCCGACACCATCGAGGAGCAGCGCGAGGTCTACACCAACGAGGTGAAGCCGGCCTTCTGGGGCCCCTGGATAAAGTGGTTCCTCCGCCGCGACACCACGCTGTCGCTGCTCGGCGTGCCCCGCGCGCAGCGCACCCAGCTGGAGCGTCACTACCCCGGCGGCATCGTCAAGTTTATCGAGGACCAGCTGGACCACGTGTTCGGCGAGCTGCCGCTCAAGGACAACTACTTCTGGCGAGTCTACCTGACGGGCGAGTACACGCCGGAGTGCTGCCCCAACTACCTCAAGGAGGAGCACTTCCTCCGCCTGAAGGAGGGCCTGGTCGACCGCGTGCACACGCACGACAACTCGATCATGGACCACCTGCTGAAGGTGGGGCGGAAGTACTCCCACTACGTGCTGCTGGACCACATGGACTGGATGGCCGAGCACCTGCAGGAGGTGCTGCAGAAGCAGTGGCAGACCTTGGTTGACTGCGCCGACGACGGCGCCCGCTTCCTGTGGCGTGGCGCCGCGGTGATCTGCGACTTCGTCGACCCGATCGAGGTCCAGGTCGACGGCCAGACCCGTCGGCTGGGCGAGCTGCTGCAGTACAACCGCGAGCTCGCCGACCAGCTGCACGTGAAGGACCGGGTCAACACCTACGCCAGCTTCTCCATCGCCACGCTGCACAAGGGCGGCGCGCCCTCGTCCTCTCCCCAACACTCCCACGACAACTCCGCGGACGATGACAGCCCTCAGTCAGCTAAAGACCCTGTATCACCTGACTCTCTCGCCCATACGCGGTGAGACCCACCAGGAGCGGCTCGACAGCTTTTACTCCGGCCAGGCCGAAGACTACGACGAGTTCCGCAAGCGGATGCTGCACGGCCGTGACGAGCTCTTCGCCGAGCTCCCCGCCGAGCCCGGCTCTTCCTGGGTCGACATGGGCTCCGGCACAGGCATGAACGCCGAGCGTTTCGGCGATCGCCTGGAGAACTTCGGCGAGGTCACGCTGGCGGACCTCTCCGAGTCGCTGCTCGAGGTGGCGGACAAGCGGATCGCCTCGCGCGGGTGGCAAAACGTGCGGACCATGCACGCCGACATCACCCGGCTGAGCGTGCCGGACAACTCCGTGGACCTGGTCACCTTCACGTATTCGCTGACCATGGTGCCCGATTGGTTCTCCGCGATGCGCGAGGCGTGCCGGATCCTGAAGCCGGGCGGCACGATCGGGGTGGCGGACTTCTACACCAGCCGCAAATTCCCGGCCGCGGGGCTGAAGCGGCACTCGTGGTTCACCCGCTCGCTGTGGCCGGTGTGGTTTGCTCTGGACAACGTGCACCCCAGCGCAGACCATGTCCCGTACCTGATGTCGATGTTTGAGACCGTCAGCATCCACGAGAACTACGGCAAGCTCCCCTGGGTGCCCATTATCAAGCCCCCGCACTACCGGTTCGTCGGCCGCAAGCCGGCCGGCTGAGGTCCCCGCCCCCCGATCTCCCCGCCTGACGTGGCAACCATCTTCTACAGCGTGATGGGCGAAGGACGCGGACACGCGGCCCGGGCGCGCGCCATGGTCGAACGGCTCCGCGACCGCCACCGGGTGGTGCTGTACACGTCGTTCGACGCGCTGGACTTCCTCCGCGACGTGTACAACGCCGACCCCGACATCGAGGTCCGCGAGACCGAGGGCATCAAGTTCCACTACTCGCAGGGCAAGCTCGACCTGGCCAAGACCCTCTCCAGCGGCCTGACCACCTGGTGGAACATGCGCGCGACGGTCAAGCAGCTGGTCAAGGACTTCCGCCGTGACCGGCCCGACCTGCTGATCTGCGACTTCGAGCCGACCCTCGCCCGGGCTGCGCACAAGTGCAAGGTGCCCGTGCTGAGCCTCGACCACCAGCACTTCATGATCGCCTACGACCTCAGCTCGCTGCCGCTGGAGCTGCAGCGGTGGGCGTGGGCCATGGGGTGGAGCGTCTGGGCGTTCGGCATCGAGCAGCAACGGACCGTCATCTCCGCGTTCTACAAGCCGCCGCTGCTGCCCGCCTGGTCGCACGCCACGCAGGTCGGCCCGCTGCTGCGGCCGGCGGTCGCCGAGCGCCAGCCCACGCGGGGGCGGCACGTGCTCTCCTACCTGCGGCGCGCGACGCCCCCCCAGGTGCTGGAGGACCTTAAGGCCCTGCCGATGGAGGTCCGCGTCTACGGCCTGGGCGAGCGCCCCGCGGACGGCAACCTCTGCTTCCTGCCGGTGTGCGAGACCACCTTCCTCGACAACCTGGCGGGCTGCGACTGCGTGATCGCCGCGGCGGGGAATCAGTTGCTGGGCGAGTCGCTCTACTTCGGCAAGCCGGTGCTCGCCCTGCCGGAGCGTAAACACCACGAGCAACGCATCAACGCCTGCTTCCTCAAGCAGCTCGGCGGCGGCGACTGGCGGATGCTGGAAGAAGTGAACCGCGCAGACCTGCTCGACTTCTGGGCCCAGCGCGAGACCTACCGCCAGCAGCTGGCCGAGTCCGACATCAGTTACGACGGCACCGAAGACTCCGTCCAAGCCATCGAAGCGATGCTGGCCGAGCGTGCGCCGGTCGCCAGCTAAGCAGCGACTCCCCACCCCTGGCATGGCCGCTCCGGCCATGCCGGGTCGAGCGTTCTTTGCTGGCACGGCCGGGGGCAGCCACGCCGCAGATTCCCGCACGACGCCGGGGGTTTTGACCGATTCGTTTTGTCCAAAAACATGCGTGAAGGGGACAAAACTCCGGGCCGACCTCCTCCCCGATTTCCCCTAGCTTTTGTATTAACGCATTGTGGCGCCTCCCCCAATCAGGTCTCCCGGGGTTTAGTCTCCTCTTGGCCGCGCGGATGGGACAATAAGGTAGTGCCAACGCAGCACCAACGCGGCGGAATCACCGCGCGACAGCCTCGCGCTGAACGCCTTCACGCCGCCCGTCAGGGGGAGCTACTTCATTCGTTTCGTCCGAAAACACGCGTGAAGAGGACAAAACTCAAGGCTCATTCCCTCCCCGAACTTTCCTAAGTGCTTTTGCATTAACGCACTGCGTCCCGCTCCTCCGAACGGGTCTCCTGGGGTCTTGGCTCATCTTGGCGCTCAGAAATCGGCCCCCACCTGTTGGGCTCTTGGCTTGGCCCCCTGCTGAACGCGCCCACCGGCCGGCAGTGGACATGCGCACCACCCCTCATTGGATCACAACAGCGGCCGATTTCCACCACAAAAGGAGGGCAAAGACAACGAAGCGGGGACCGCATGCCCGCCCCACCAGACGCCGAATCGTGCCAGGTTCCAGCCGGGTACAGAGTCGCGAGCCTTCCGCTGGAGTCCACGCTCTAGCGTGCCGCTGAGCGGCCTGAAGGCCGGACTCCAAACGTCGCCGGTTCCGGGCCCAACGCCCGGGCTAGCAGCCCGCCGCGTGAAGTCGGTGGAGGCTTCCGCGTCGAGAATGCCCCGTGCGCAGGTGCTTCACGCCGGAGCGGCGAAGAAGGGGCCCGAAGCCGCCGAGGTTGGACACACCGCGACAAGATGGACGCAGGCGCAACTCCGGTCGGCTGGTTCAACCTCAGCGGCTAACGAGTTGGCCGAACTGCCAGAGGTGTCTCAACCTAGCAGAGACCGCTGCATAACGACAAAGCTCAGCCACGCCGGGCCAGGGGACGCGCACCGCGAAGCGGAACTGAAAGCGTTCCCCGGCGTTGGCTGCAGCGAATGGTTAGCCTGCATTGGTTTCATGGTCTATCTCTTGGAACATCTCCCGGTTTGTCAAACGTGCGTGCGTCGTACCAAGTAATGTGCGAGAAATGCGAATCACTGCTAATAGCAGCGTGCAATCCCTCACAAATCCTCCGCAGTAACCACGCTCGCCTCGCCTCAAACTCCGATCTGCCAGAAAGCTTCTTGAGCAAGGGAACTGCGCAATCGTTGGTGACTAGCCATTGGCGCGGAAGACTCCCCTGCATGTCATCAACCAACCCCACAATGCTCATAACCTCCAAACCAGCATTGCGTGTGACCATGCCCCATGCAAATCCCTCGCGGTCCTCGGGCGAAGAAGTCGTCAATCCAAGCTTGGTCAACTGCGAGTGAACGAACTGAGCCAACTCTTTGCCCGCGGGCTCGACGCCGTCCTTTCTAACCGGAAAGTCCGCAACGAAACCAACAATCGTATGAGGTGACGCGCTCATGCAGGCTAACGGCCAAAATCACCCGGTCGCCGCCAAGTGACTTTGACTTCAGGAAACGCCCGATCGGCAACTCGGGTGCATTTTTTGGTTCGTCAATTTCAGTATCATGAAGAGCCGTCTCGGACCCGGCGAATCTCATTACA